TCCTGCATCAGCCTCATGAGTAGCTAGGATTACAGGGGCATAACTCTATGCCTGGCTAATTTTTAAACTTTTTGTAGAGATGGGGGTCCTGCTATGTTGCCCAGGCTGGTCTTGAACTCCTGGCTTGAAGTGATTCCCCCTGCCTTGGCCTCCCAAAGTGTTGAGATTATAGGAAGAAGCCACTGTGTCTGGCCTACTCTTCTATCTTGAAACACTTTCTTCATTTGTCTTTGGTGGCACCACTTTCTGGTTTTAATTCTACCTTAAAAGAGGCAGTCTCTTTTGCAGCCTCCTCTAGAAGACCTCTAAATGTTAAGAGTAGCCACTACTGGCTGGGTGCAGTAGCTCACGCCTGTAATCCCTGCACTTTGGGAGGCCAAGGCAGATGGATCACCTGAGGTCAGGAGTTCAAGACCAGCCTGGGCAACATGATGGGCAACATGATGAAACCCCATCTCTACTAAAAATATAAAAAATTAGTAAGGCTTGGTGGCAGGCACCTGTGATCCCAACCACTCAGGAGGCTGAGGCAGGAGAATCACTTTAACCCAGGAGGTAGAGGTTGCAGTGAGCTGAGACTGCATCACTGCATTCCAGCCTGGGTGACAAGAGTAAAACTTCGTCTCAAAAAAAAAAAAGGAATAGTCACTACCTGCACTGACTCTCTAGGGGACCTCAGCCAGTGCCATGGCTTTAAATGGCAGCCAAATGCCAATGAATCCCAATTTTTATTTTTATTTATTTATTTTGAGACAGGGTTTTTCTCTGTTGCCCAGGCTAGAGTACAGTGGTGTGATCATAGCTCACTGCAGCCTTCACTTCCTGAGCTCAAGCCATCCTCCTGCCTCAGCCTCCCAAGTAGCTGGGACTACTGGTGTGTACCACCACGCATGGCTAATTTGTACATTTTAGGTAGAGATGGGATATCCCTGTGTTGCCCAGGCTGGTCTCCAACTCCTGGGTTCAAGTGACCCTCCCAACTTGGCCTCCCAAAGCGTTGGGATTCCAGGTAGGAGCCACCAGGCACAGCTGCATCCCAAGTTCTCATGTGTAAGCCTAAACTCTCCCTAAGCTCCAGACTTGCATATTCCACAGCCTACTCAGCATCTCTGCTTGGATCACTAGTAGTCATCTCCAACTTAACATATGGAAAGCAGACACCTTTAGGTATGCCCTTCAACCTGCCCTTCCCTCTTTACCATCTCACATGACTGTACCCCCATTCAGCTGCTCAAGTCCAAACCTGTTGATCCTTCTTGATTTCCCTCTTCGCCTCCATATCCATTTACAATCCACCTACATGTTGTGGGTTTTACATTAAAAATGTATGATGAACACCCTGCCTTCTCACCACTGTCCACCACTAACATCCTAATCCAAACCACTCAGAACCCCAGCTTGCACTGCTCTTGCCCCCATTCAGACTACCCACTATAAATACCTGCAGTAATTATCTAAAAACATAAACTAGGATGATGGTTGATAGGGTTTGGCTGTGTCTCCACCCAAATTGCATCTTGAATTGTAGCTCTCCTAATTCTCACGTGTTGTGGGAGGGATCTGGTGGGAGATAACTGAATCATGGGGGCAGTTTCCCCCATACTGTTCTCACGGTAGTGAATAAGTCTCATGAGATCTGATGGCTTTCTAAGGGCAAACCCCTATCACTTGGTCCTCATTCTCTCTTGTCTGCTGCCATGTAAGACGTGCCTTTTGCCTTCTGCCATGATTGTGAGGCCTCCTCAGCCACATGGAACTGTGAGTCCGTTAAACCTCTTTTTCTTTATAAATTACCCAGTCTCAAGTATATCTTTATCAGCAGTGTGAAAACGGACTACCACAATGGTGGAAGTGGTAGCATTGTTTTTGAATTTAAACAAATACCCCCATAAAAACAGAGCAAACAGGATAGCAAAACTGTAAAAAAAAAAAACAGCAAACAAACAAAAAAACTACAGATAACATATACAACAAAACTACAGGAAGAGGTACCCTCAAAATGGCAAAATTCTAGCAGATAGAGACAAAATACTACAGCTAAGACTTGTGTGGTTTAGGCATCTGTGCAGGAAAAAGCAGAGGGGGACAATGTGGGGTGTCTGACAGACCTGAGAACCCCAAAATAACCAGCAGGTGTCCATAAGCATAGCAGGCTGATTTGAGAAGAGCAGGTAAGACTGGGAGTGAGAATATGGGATGTCTGGCAAAGTTTGAAGTGACTAGAGGTGATTAATCAGGGAGGGAGAAAGGTGAGTGTGATTAGGTACAGGGCATAAGCCTTAAGGGAAGGTAAAAGAGTTCTCTCTCTTCATTTGGAGAATCCGGGTTGAAGGGTATATGAAAACTCTTAGTACAACTTTCCAACTTTTCTGTAAGCCTGATATTATCTTATAAAAATTGTTATTTAAATTTTTTATTTTACTTTAAGTTCTGGGATATGCGTGTACAACGTGCAGGTTTGTTACATAGGTATACATGTGCCATGGTGGTTTGCTGCACCCATCAACCCGTCATCTAGGCTTTAAGCCCTGCATGCATTATATATTTGTCCAAATGCTCTCCCTCCCATCGTCCCCCAGCCCCCGTAAAAATGTTTTATCTTTTGACCAGAGTGATGGTTAGAAAGGTATCTGCTTTATAACTCATGAAGCTGTACATTTTAATATTGTTTTTCTGTTATCTGTTTCCCATTTAATAGAATTTTCCAAAATTCAAAAATTGGAAAAATGTAAATTAGGTCATAGTTTCTAGTTACATTAGAAAATAATCCAAATTCCCGGCCAGGCACTATGGCTCATGCCTGCAATCTCAGTACTTTGGGAGGCCAAGGCAGGAGGATCACTTGAGCCCAGGAGTTCAAGACCAGCCTGAGCCACACAGTGAGACCTTGTCTCTACTGAAGATTAAAAAAATTAGCCAGGTGTGTGCCGGGCACGGTGGCTCATGTCTGTAATCTCAGCACTTTGGGAGGCTGAGGTGGGCAGATCACGAGGTCAGGAGATCGAGACCATCCTGGCTAACACAGTGAAACCCCATTTCTACTAAAAATACAAAAAAATTAGCCAGGCGTAGTGGCGGGCGCCTGTAGTCCCAGCTACTCGGGAGGCTGAGGCAGGATAATAGCGTGAACCTGGGAGGTGGAGCTTGCAGTGAGCTGAGATCGAGCCACTGCACTCCAGCCTGGGTGGCAGAGCGAGACCCCATCTAAAAAAAAAAAAAAAAAAAAAATTAGCCAGGTGTGGTGGCGTGTGCCTGTAGTCCCAGCTACTCAGGAGGCTGAGGCAGGAAAATGGCTTGAGCCCAGGAGGTCGAGGCTGCAGTGAGCTATGATTGCACCACTGTATGCCAGCCTAGGTGACAAAAGAAGACTGTATCACTCAAAAACAAAACAAAACAAACAAATTCAAATTCCTGCTAGCACTCTAGCTTTTTCCTTCTTACTCTTCTCCCATTAATTCTGCCCGAACCTACTTACTGCTCCTGAAACACACAAAACTCATTCCCACCTAAAGCATCCACATCTGCTATTCCCTCTGCTTGGCATGTCTTACATAATTACACAGCCTGAACTCTCACTTCTTGTTCCTGTCTCTGTTCAAATATTACTGTCTAAGAATATATGAATAAATCCAAATGCAAAAGAGGAGGTGAAAGCAGTGAAATTCAAAACACAGATGGAATAATGCACTGGGAAAGTGACTAAGTCCGTAATAAACTGAGAGGGAAACAAGAGGTGAGTGAGTATTAAAATGGGTAAAGATGAAGTTCCTTTGGAGAGGCTGGTGAGATTATCTCTTTCTTACCCAAATCTCAGCCTTTTTCTATGCAGGCCCTAGGGCTTTGAAGGGAAACTTCCAAACATGGCAGAGATGCACCTCCTCCCTGACGGCTGGGCTGTTTCCAGCAACGATGGCCTCCCTACCTGCCATGCTCTTACTCACCTGTGCACCACCTTCTTCCATCTTTCCTCTCTGTCACCTTAGGCTCTTTCCATCGTTCCAATAAGGCGATCACATGTGGTTTAGAAAGGGAATGTCCTGCTTATGAGATAAGAATGTAGAAAAGAAATATGAGTTCAAAAATACTTTCAACTTTGGTTAAATTTGCCATAAATGAAAGGTCAAACGATATTGACCTTTATATCTCAGAGATGAGAAGGGTAAGAGGATTCATAATTCCAGAGAGGTAGAGAAAGGTTTTATTTATTTATTTATTTAGAGATGGAATCTCACTCTGTCACCAGGCTCGACTGCAGTGCGCGATCTCAGCTCACTGCAACCTCTGCCTCCCGGGTTCAAGCGATTCTGCTGCCTCAGTCTCCCAAGTAGCTGGGACTATAGGCATGTGCCACCACGCCCAGCTGATTTTTGTATTTTTAGTAGGGATGGGATTTCACCATGTTGGCCAGGATGATCTCAAACTCTTGACCTTGTGATCTGCCCACCTTTGCCTCCCAAAGTGCTGGGATTACAGGCATGAACCACCACGCCCAGCTGAAAGGTTTTATTTTAAATGAAATCTATCTATCTATTATAAACATAGATAAGTGTATACGCATTTATTTTTTGTGTCTTGATAAAAAACGGGGCCCAGGGGCTCATGCCTATAAAATTCCAGCACTTTGGGAGGCCAGGGTGGGCAGATCATTTGAGGTCAGGAGTTCGAGACCAGCCTGGCCAACATGGTGAAACCCTGTTTCTACCAAAAATACAAAAATTAGCTGGGTGTGATGGTGTATGCTTGTAATCCCAGCTACTAGGGAGGCTGAGGCCGGAGAATCGCTTGAACCTGGGAGGTGGAGGTTGCAGTGAGCTGAGATCATTACACTCCACTCCAGCCTGGGCAACAGAGTGAGACTATGTCTCAAAAAAAAAAAAAAAAAAAAAGTATGACATTGTGATTGAGAACACGGATTGTGGAACCTAAGTGCCTGGGTTCAAGTTTCTGCTACCGTCACCTATGGGCTGTGTGGTCTTGCATAACTCACTTAAATACACTGTGCTTTAGAATTCTCATCTAAAATGGTTAGCACCTATAGAGTGCTTGTAAGGATAAAAATCAGTTAATACAAATATATATTAATATAAAGAGCAAAGAAGAGTGAACCAGCACACAGTAAGCACACTGTGTGTTACTAACATTATTATTGTTATTTTGCTAAGAGAAAACAAAGTCTCCTTAGACATCTACATCTATAGGATGTAGGTTTAATTTGCATTTACTCTTAAATGCAAAGTTCAGAGATGATGAATTTTAACCACAAAATCAGATTATATCATACGAAATAAAATGAGGTAGCTCCAGTTTTAAATGATTTGTTTATCCAATCCGCCGGCATATAAGTTGTATAGGCTCTTCACATAGAACAAATCAAGACCCTTTGTCTAGCTGTTTTGCCTGCAAGGTGGGTCAGATTTTCACAGAACGTTCAGAGCAATTCAGAGCAAAAACATAATAGAAAACCTGGCCTCTTTTGTCAATGTTTTGCAATAAACAATCCAGAATTCTAATCCTGACACTGGATCATTTCCAACCTAACAAAGCTCAAATGATTTCTCTGGCAACAAGAAGAAATTGTGTTCAGTTCTTAAGATAGCCCTAAAATCTATAATGGAGAAAGTATAACAGGGAGCAGATTCTCAATTATTTGAGAAAGGTACACTTACCCATTGACACCAAGTTCCTGTAGTTCTCCAACATCACATCTCTGTACAAGCCCCTCTAGGAAGAGTCCAGACTCTCCCACTCCTGCTGGGAGAAGGCTATGGCCACATCCTCAAATGTCACTGATCCCTGAAACTGCAAACCCACATATTTCTGGTGAAATCAAAGAAAATGCTTTCAAGGTGAAAGGAGAGGAAATAAACGTTTCGATGTAGTAAGGGAACAATAACATAGGCTGGAAGCTTATAACATGGGAAGTGGATGAGCATAGTATCTGCATGTTCTAGAAGAATCCTGCTGCTATGGACAAAATGTCCTATATATTGTAGGATATCACAATACTCCATATCTGTGGTGAAATGGAGAAAATAATCCTAGTTTCCCTTTTATGTAAAAGAGTATATACAAAGATATTGCCTGTTAGGTATCCAACTAAAGAAATTCTCAAAAAGGATTAGTCTCTATATTACTCTTCCTTTAAGAGGAAAATAGCTATGATTTCTTTCTCCAACTGTAGAGTAAAATCTGTCTTAGAAAATAGCCATGACACAAATTTGTTGAATAACTCCTCAAGCTTCAAGTTCATTATGGTCAGATCGTAAGTGTTTTTCCTTGTATTAATAAACACTTTTTTCCATAGTGACATAAAAGTTATCTTGTGGATCTATATTGAGTTAGTAACTTTGCAAGGCTGAGGTGGGCAGATCACTTGAGGTCAGGAGTTCGAGACCAGCCTGGCCTACATGGTGAAACTTGTCTCTACTAAAAATACAAAAATTAGCTGGGCGTTGTGGCAGATGCCTGTAATCCCATCTACTTGGGAAGCTGAGGCAGGAGAATCACTTGAATCCAGGAGGTGGAGGTTGCAGTGAGTCGAAATTGTGCCACTGTATTCTAGCCTGGGTGACACAGTGAGACTGTCTCAAAAAAAAAAAAAAAAAGTAATGATTTTATACTTATAAATGAAGACTGAACCAAACGCCTCAGGTTCCCCAATTCTGGTAATCTGTTAATCTACTACTGATAACAATATACTTACAGTGTCACACAATATCCTTCACTTAATATTTTGTCTGTTGTTTTTTAAAATTTTTTTGAGATGGAGTCTTACTGTGTTGCCCAGTGTGTAGTGCAGTGCTATGATCATAGCTCACGGCAACCTTGAACTCCTGGGCTCAAAGTGTCTTTCTGTCTGAGGTTCCCAAGTAGTTAGGACTACAGGCAGGTGCCCCCATGCCTGGCTAATTAAAAAAATTTTTTTTGGTAGAGACAGGGTCTTGCTATGCTGCCTAGGCTGGTCTTGAACTCTTGGGCTCAAGTGATCCTCCCACCTTGGGCTCCCAAGGTCCTGGGTTTACAGGTCTGAGCCACTGCACCTGGCCATTTGGCTATGCTTGAGTTAATGGATTAGGGTGAAAATGACTCAGAACCAAACACATGTTGTCCAAGTCTGGCAGGTCCCATTCCATAACAAAACTGACCTAGTATCACTCTCGGGCATCCCAAGAAGAATCATATCAATGTTTCACGTCACAATCACATTCCCAATCAATCTTTTTTTTTTTTTTTGAGACGGAGTCTCGCTCTGTCGCCCAGGCTGGAGTGCAGTGGCCGGATCTCAGCTCACTGCAAGCTCCGCCTCCTGGGTTCACGCCATTCTCCTGCCTCAGCCTCCCAAGTAGCTGGGACTACAGGCGCCCGCCACCTCGCCCAGCTAGTTTTTTGTATTTTTTTTAGTAGAGACGGGGTTTCACCGTGTTAGCCAGGATGGTCTTGATCTTGTGAACTCGTGATCCGCCCGTCTCGGCCTCCCAAAGTGCTGGGATTACAGGCGTGAGCCACCGCGCCCGGCCCCCCAATCAATCTTAAAAGCCTCAGAGAGCATGTTATCTCATCATATTGAGACCAATTAGTACAAAATTCCATCTTATCAGCTCTGTGGAAAACTTCAAATCTTCTGATGTGTGGCCAAATGAAGCCAACAGATCGAACTCATCAAACCACAGCTGGATGTAGGAAGCTCAAATACTTCTGCCATGGGACTTCAATCCTTCACTGCTCTATCACAGCCTTTCAGCTAAGACTTACTATTTACCTGCTCAGAATTTGCTCAATGAATTCAGGAACATCAATTAGAAAAGAGGACTTCGTAAGGAGGAAACAATACTTCGACATCTTTCTGCCACACAGAAGGAATCCAGTAGGCAATTAGATGGTGCACTCTGATGCAGAATGCTTCAGATCAATTAAGGAAAATAGCCACATAATGTAACAAGAAGAAACACCAACTTACGTGGGCCATGCTTTGAGAACTCTTAAGAACTGATCAGTCTTCACTGGGGTTCCTCTATCTGAGAAGTTCAAACTCTAGAAAATCCAGAAAGAGGTAAAGGAGGCTTTAGTGTTCTCAATGACATACATTAATAAACCTTCTTGTCCTTCCATTTCAGCTTCCGAACTGTGCTACAAACACCCTCAAACAAAATTTGGAGAACAGTGGAATTCAAGCCCCAGTGAACTAAGCTGTAGAGAGTTGGATGCAGAGGAGTGGCATTTCTTAAGGAAGGCAGAATCAGACACAAGCTTTCCCACTAGGCCCTCATTTTGGGAATGTCGATCTAGGTCTCAAATTGGGCTGCACAGTCCTCTCTTGAACAGATTCTCCTCACTCCATTCCCACGTTCTAAGCCTAAGAAAGAGTCCACATCACCCAATCCAGAGCTTCTTTAATGGTGGCAGTATAAATCTGAGGTTGGTCAGGACATGGGAGATAGAGAACATAGGAGAAAATGATCAGGCAGTTACTAATATGGCTCAGTTTTCTCACCACTAAAATAGTAATAGGAATATCAGCTCCAACATGTGGTTGTCCTGAAGAATAAGAAAACCCACCCCCAAAACTTAACAGAATACTTGCTTAACATGAGTTAGCTCTTTTTTTTTTTTTTTTTTTTTTT